GTTCCTATTTAAAATGGCATCTTTGTCATGCTGTAAAAAATTGATGTTTACTTATATTGATATGTGCAGGTTGTGCAAGAAAGGTGGGGTTCTCTGGGTGAGTTGACCGCATCTGTTGCATCTAATGCAGCTGCCCCTGCTCGAGCACATCTACGTGCTATAAAAAATAGACAAAAAGGAATAACGGAAGAAAAATCTCCAGATTCTGACAAGCATGGTGGAAGGGCTCCTAATAAAAGGGTAACTTTGATGAGAAATAAATAACTGTTTTACGTTTCTTTCTTGTTCCTTCAACTTGTTTTATGTCCAATAAATATTATTGTGTTAATCACATTTTTCTGAAATTTTGAAATATAATCTGTTGCACTTTACTTAAATCCGCTAATGAAATGCTAGCAGGACTACTTAAAGGATGTTTCTGTTCGCCACCATGAAATGAGAAAACCTAAAGTTGAAGATTCTTTGTCTTGGGGAAAGCGAAAGAGCCACCAACGCATGGTAGCTGAGGGTGCTGGGATAATCTCTGCCGCAGTATCTAGTCTAAATAAGTTTTCTAATGATGGAAGCTTTATGCAAAATTTCGATAGCAGGATGAGTAATAATTCTGATGGCTCTGTTTTGGAAAGTGTTGAATTGGAAGAAGTTCCGTTAGAAGCAAACACTCCTGTGGAAAGAAGTGCTGAAGTCAAGAATGAGATGAGTGCAAATCAGTTGGCAGCCAAGGCTATGCAACTTCGTTTGAAGGGAAAGCATGAAGAAGCTGATAAACTGATGGTAAAGCATAAAATAATAGGATATGGTGTCTTTTCTGGATTGGTTACATCTTATCGTTTTTACAGTTTAAACCAGCGCATTTTCCCACCCTTGACCATTTTATTATGTGCCTGTTCAGTGTTGAATTCGACCATAGTACTATTAATTTATTCCTTATTACGAGATTAGATAAAGTAGAAATGACCAGAACAAACTGTTTTTTTTCAGATAATGGTTTCAATGTTTGTGATTATGGCCCTTATTCTAGAATTAGGACAAACTTTTCTCTTTCCTCGGTGCCTTGAAAAGTCTATCTTGAATTATAACTTCCTTCATGGTTTCTCTGATCTCTGCTATGTTATCAAGTTTTCTTTCCATCAGTATTTGCTTCTTGTTATTAAAATGCTTCTGTCAATCTTGCTTTTGTCACTTGTCCTGAAATTGGACATTTTTTCTGAACTTCTTCTCTTTCATGTTTTCTATGGTTTTCTTCTTGGAAGTGGAATTTGTTAGATGGTACTAAACTGTCGAGGAGTTGAAAAACTTCTACTGTACATAATGCATTATCTATCGTTGCCTTTTGCTTTGGGAGGAGGTGACATTAGCAGTTAATTGGCTTGATGATAATAGTTGATTCTAATGTAATTGATTCTGAAATTCTTGAGATGTTGACTCTTAATGTTAAGTTGTAATGATCAATGCATAGTTAAAATCCCTTGATTTATAGGGATTAAATATAGTAATTACAGCTTGAAAATCCTTCCCTACTAATTACTATTTACCCAGCTGTCAATATACAAGTAAACAGATAGATTTTATTTAGGTAAAAATAAGGAAACAGACAATATTCGACATATTGTATTTATCTTTCATTTATAGAAACATATCCTTCTAGTTTGTTGATTATTTTTCATTGTCTTTTTTTTTTCTTGTTTGGTGGGCAGCAAGAAGTAAAAGTTATTAACACAAAACAGGAAAATCAAGATCATTCAATTAGATCAAGAACAGATGGCAGTTCTAGCAGGTATTTGGCTGTCTGTGTATTTGTTTGTGTTCTCGTCCATTATCCCACTCGCAGTTTATTCATTTCTAATGTGAAAACATTATGCCCAAGATAAAATTTCTCATGTTACAGAAAAAAACTGAACTTCTCCTGTTATTTATTTATAGTTTGCCTTTCTTTATTCTTTTTATGTTTGTAATCATGTTTGACGTGTTACACTATTATTAATGGAGCTTTATTTATCCTTGTAATATTTATTATGCTTTTAATGGCTATGTTTTACTTTTTTAAGGTATGCTATGCAAAAGATATCCGCTGCTGGACAGAAGAAAGGAGAAGATGATGCTGATATGCATCTTGCTCGCAAGATAATGCAGAACAAGAAGTTTAGCATTTCCACTCAGGCTGATGATGAATATGATTTTGAGGATGGCCCAAGCAGAAAGAGTAGAAAGAAGCAAGCAGGCGATGATGGCAAGATCCAAAAAAAGACTAATCGGTTCTTGACTCAGCAAGAACGCTGCCTCTTTTGTTTAGAAAATCCAAATCGACCTATGCATCTTGTTGTTTCAATCGCAAATTTCACATATCTTATGTTGCCACAGTGGCAGCCCGTGGTTCCTGGTCATTGCTGCATTTTACCAATTCAGGTGACTTCAATTTCTGCTACTGTCGGTTTTTTAAGAGTTGAAACTAGTGAAGTTTTTTGTTTATTTAGCACAATCCCTGCAATATGAGTGATATATAGGTCCAGGAGAATATTCAAATGGATGATAGTGATGGGAATTTAAGTGTATTTGATACTGCTTTCTTGAACTTGGGATAGTAGTTTGGTAGATTAGTATTATTGCATGAATTTGGAGTAACATTAAGTTGTATTAATTTGACTTGAATTGAAAGTGCTGTACAGATTTTTGAGCCGCCTGGTCTTGTGCCATAAGAACTTGGTTATTTTTTATTTTCATGGAATTTTAACCTTGCTACTCTGTCTTTTCCTTTTATCTGGCAGCATGAATCAGCTACAAGAACTGTGGACGATAATGTGTGGACAGAAATTCGAAACTTTAAGAAGTGCCTAATTATGATGTTCGCTAAGCAAGAAAAGGAGGTAGTGTTTCTTGAGACAGTGATGGGATTGGCCCAGCAACGAAGGCATTGTATGGTTGAGTGCATTCCTTTACCCCAAGATATTGCCAAAGAGGCTCCTTTGTACTTTAAAAAGGTGAGTTGCCAAACATTATTTTCTGTGTAGTCCCGATTACTGTCTCTCTTCAAAATCGATGTTTTTCATTTATGCATCCGGCAAATCAACTACCAATCCTTTAGGCTGCACATAATTGCGTAATGGTGTGTGTTCAAAGCCAGCATCAAATTAATCTTCTAGTGTTTCTTTCTTGGTTCTTGTGCTATCGAACTGAATTATTATAGCAGTCTATATTTGATTCCTAACAGTGACACACTAGTGGTGTAGCTAGGGTAGCTATGATGTACGGATACGTGTTGTCTTGTTTCTATCCATTATTATTAACTACATTTAATATTTGTTTTTAGTTTTCTATTACCAGCATTTTAAAAATTTAAACTCTTTAAATTGGGTTCACCATAGGCGATTGATGAAGCTGAAGATGAGTGGAGCCAGCACAATGCCAAGAAACTTATCGATACAAGTCAAAAGGGATTGCGTAATTCAATTCCCAAGCACTTTCCATATTTCCACGTTGAATTTGGTCTAAACAAGGGTTTTGTCCATGTTATTGATGATGAAAAACAATTTAATGGCAGCCTCGGGTTGAATGTGTTAAGAGGCATGCTGCAATTGGCAGAAGAGGACATGTATAGACGACGACGCTACGAGGCCGTGGAGGTACAAAAGCAATTAGTTGCAAGCTTTTCCAAAGAGTGGGATCATTTTGACTGGACAAAACAGCTTCATGAAACTTCCTAACAAACATTTTACAGCTTCATGAAGCTTCATGTCACTTTGATTTAAAGATTTAGTTAATCCACATTGTAATCTGCCCTGGCATACAATATCTTAGTGATAGAAATGAATTTGATGGTGCTGTGTACTCATTTCTTTTCAAAAAAGGTAAAAAGAATGTGAATTATTGTTTATTCGTTGTTCATGTACTGTACATTATTTTTGTCAAATTTACAATTTTAGCTTGTGAAAATTAAACATTTTGTATTGTAGATCCCCACCTTAAGGAACTCAAGATGGTGCAATTATTTTAGAAGAATTATAGGTTTATTCGTATGAACTTTGCAATGATTTTACAGATTTATTTAAATTAATGTTATTATTTCTAATCAAAGATGCCACGGAACTGTGTAACAAGAAAATAACAAAATAGCATAAAAGTTATCGACCGAATAATTTTCTTTTAATTTCTCACAAATTAGTGATTACATTATGAGGGAAACATCCATTTTGTGGTCCCTTGCTAGTCTTAAATGGTTCACGAGGAGAATGACATTGATTAATTACTTAGCATGAAAGTCTATTCCATCTTAAGTTACGGTATAATGTTATATGAAATCCATAAGTATTAAATTTTAATATAACAATCCCTTCACTAATTGGCAAGTCAATTTATTTCACATTGATAGCAAGATGGAAATTTATTCTAGTACAAATACTTCGTTTGGATCCCTTTATGTGGTAAAATTTTTCCCTCATAAATGTCTCACTAATTTAATAATATTTTTTTATTAAATAAGTTAATTTGAGAAATGGAATGGACTCGCAACTTACAGAAAATAAAAATCCAAACAAACAAATGTCGCACGAAATATAAGAGGGTTCTTGCAACTACAAAACTTATATTTAAAACAGAAGGAAACTGAATCTGTAATCATAACTCACCAACTTTTGATCCCGTTTTCAATTTTAAATCTTTAGTCTAAAAGCAATGGATAATAAGCATAGCATCGTTTAATATTTTTTAACCAAGATTAAGTAAACTAATATTTTTTACTCAGTTTTCAATACAACATTAATTATTATATTTCTATTTTGTTGATAAGGAAACTACAGAAATATTTAATTTTCAACATAAAAAATAAATTTATTAACAGAATGAGATTATATTAATAAAAATGATTTAAGAAGTAACATTTTCAGAGAATAAAGATGGTAGGAATATAATTACAGTAAGAATAAACTGTAATAAGGCTTTCAGAGAATGACACGAATAAAGATGGTAGGAATATAATTTTCAGAGAATGACTTGAATAGAGATGGTAAAAAAAAATACTTAGTATCAATAAGGCTTTCATTTCTCCATGGACAGTAGGAATATAATTACAGTAACAACTATGGATTTCAAAAACATCATACGTCATACAAAAGTTGCAACAATAAAAAAATAAAATAAACTGTTTCAGTTAACCAAGACTTCATGGAGAAAAGGAAAACCTTGCTGCTGCAGTCCCTGCTTTGTGTCAAGTTGAGATACTTGTGGCCAAATTCATCACTCTGATCTAGTCAGGAACGCAAATAGCTAATTGTCATCTGGTTTCTTCAAGTTCAAACAATTATCTGATGCTTGCCTAAACAGTTCTTGAACTTGATTCAATTCCTTCTCTGACATCAAGAACACAAAGTGTTAGTTAGACTCATACCTTCTCTAGACATCCTAAAGTCCAAAGCACATTACAGCTGAATTTTCAGTCAGAATTATAAGTGAATGTACATTACAGATGGATACCAGCCTTCACCGAACTACTACAGCTGTATAGCCCATAAAATGCTTAATATTGCTTGAACAAACTACTTTTGCATGTATGATTTTTCTTTTGGAGATTCTAAAACTCAGTTTGGCTATCTAACATGAATTTACAGTTTCATTTGTTATACAGAGAAATCAAGAAATAAAGCTCAGAGTTCAGAAATAAAGAGAGAATTGGACAACCTGCAGCTTCCAACTGCTTTTGAAGTTCTTGGCCTATTGCATCATTTTCAGCCTGGAAGGCAAAATGCAGAAACAATGTAAAAGCATAAACACTGTTTGTTACAATTAGATTACTTGTTATTAAGTTCACCAGTCAATCACATAAAAAGTGAGGTGTGAGATACACACTTGTAGTTCTGTTATCCTCTTAAGCTGTGCTTCTTCACCTGACTCGGATATCGGAAGAGCCGCAACTAATGCATCAAACTACAGAAAAACCCATATATTTCATGGATAAATTATGAGTGATGAAATAATGAAGACAAAAGGCTCAATAAATAATGAAGTTCAGCATCACAAAAAAAGAAAGATATAAGCCTGAGTCCAATTGGTTAAATTGGTTCTATGTATATATCCAATGTTGGTTTACAATTTCCAAGCAAGCATTGTGCATGTTATCCTCAAACAAACACAATTGGAATACTGGATACACATCTGTTTTTATCCAAAGGTAACTTGAACATTTTTCTTTGAGAAATAATACCATATGCACCCATGCCAGTCTTAGAATATGTTTATTTAGTAGGATCTGTATAATATATTTCAGAAAAAATACTCAAAAAGTTAAGATATGTTGGGGACCTTCTTCTTTTGTTAATGGAAATTATAAAGGATAGATTCAATGCACTGGAACAAGAAATTTCAACAATTAAATCAAGAATGAAAGAAAAAGCCCCAAAAACTAAGAACGTGAAGTGTAACATGGTATACCAATATCCATGTACATCTCTACCAAAGATATCCCCTAGAAAAACCATTTGCAGGCACTACGAAGAAGCTAAGGGAACTATTTTATGATCTCAAATAAAAACCCGAAAAAAGAAAAATCTGACATCTTTCCAACCATGTACACCACACAATCCCAAATTGAGAACGACAAAGCCTTTTAACATCTCTATCACACTCTAAACCTCTAAAATTAACACAGGAACTTTTGAAGCCCCTCTGGAAAAACCAAATGTTCACCAAAAACACCAAACAATTTATTCCAAAAGAAGGGAAACTGCAAGAGAAGTTCAAAACTCAATTGGCATGGCACACAATAGTCAGCAGAAAATGCAGTTAGAGGTCTTTAAATTTGAATTAAATAACTGGCAGTAATCCAGTTTAGAACATCAGTTCAAACAAAGGATTTAGACTTTGTAGGAGCAACTGATTTCCAAACCCACTAATAAAAAACAAATGAACCATTTTCGGGACTTTGGAAATAATGATAAAACAGAAGCAAGATTTGCAAGAAAATGAACCTGATGTGTCAAGAGACCAAACCCTCGGGTCAGGACTTTTAAGACAGCTAAATAAAAAATGGCGAAAAGGGACTGTAATGCAGAGAATTCCCATTATAATGAATTTCTTAAAAACGATAAAGAATAAAACTGAATTACCCGAGACCTATGAAAAATTATATAATATAGAACCATGGAGAAAGCAGAACAGCAAAAAGCAAAGAGAGAACAGAACAGCAGAGTGAGTGCCAATCGAAGGGCCGATGACTGACTGGAGTTTAGTCCCGATTTTGACAATATTAACAACTAAGTATGATATACTAACCTCCCTTTCACTATTGACTAAGATGCTATGTACCTGCTTGGCAGCCTTCACTAAAGTAGAACTCATCAACTTTGGTTGCTCTGAAAAATTTGTCCCTTCTTCTGTAGGATGTGCTGGTGGTTCAGGATAATTTGGCGACAGTCGATTAGGAGGGGCATCTCTTTGCAATGTCCCAATGGTATTGAAAGCTAAATGTGCAATCAGATTAACTTGTTCTTGTAATTGGGAGATTATATCCATTGCAACTTTGTGGAGGAACTTTTGACTTATATGTACCTGCACCTTCAGAAACAAAGTTTATATGCAAAAACTTTATGTAAACACGTCAAGGTCTAGGTAGCACAAAAAAAGTGATATTAGAACTGCCAATAAATGATGTATATGAATAGCTTCAAAATTTACACCATGAATTACTGGTAGCATCAGCAAAACACACAAAAGGTAATGATATCATGACACATTCTTAATTTCAAGTTTAACAGGTATTCGAAAATGAATCACATAGTGTTTTTCTAGGATTTAGGCTAAAAATGGTTATTTTGAAGGAAAATAAATGAATCTATTATAGATTATCTGCACTGGGGGATAGAGACTGAAATTTGCACTGAATCTATTATAGCAGTAGTTGGTTCTAAATTCAACTTTTATGTGTTTCGTCTCATTCACATGGACTATAGCAGTGTGTTCATGGCTTAGCGGCAGTACAAAAAGGGTAAAAACTGCTAAAAGCAAACAAAAACTAACAAACCTGCAATCTCTCTCATCTCATCTCATCTTTAAGCAATTTTTAATTTTAAGAGCCACAAGATCAACAACAGAAACAATCCAAAGCAAAGCAAGCGGCGCAATAATCTCTTTCTCAATTTTGTTTTTCTTTTTATTCTCTCTCAAAAGAGAGAAACCAAAAACTAAAACCAAATAACAAACCAAACCTAGATTGTAGTTTAAATGTTCGCACTTAACTAGATTTGCGTCCTCTTCGTTATTGATAAAATTTGCAGCGGAAAAACTAGGGCAAATCAAAGGAGGAACAAAAATTCAAGCCAAAATCCAAAAAATGAACCTGCTGTGGTACTCTGATTGACTCTGCCCTCTGTTCTGGTCTGAGAAGATAGGGTGGAATTGTTGTCCGGTCTGAGAAGATTGCTCTCTTCTTGCTTTGCTGTTTGGACAAAAATCTAAAGGCAAGGTTGGCGGACTGGCTCACTTATCAGAGTAACTTCACTTTTTTCTACAATTGGCCACTTCTTATATTTTCTGGAGATATATATACATCTTAACCCCGAACAGTTTATCTACTCATAGATTTAATACAGGTTAATAATTCGTGTAGGAAATTTCAAATGGGTTTAATATTTTTTTGTTTTTATTTTTAAGAATTTCATATAATAAGGTTCTTTTTCCATAGTTTTGTATTGATGCTGTTGAAAGAAGTGTCATAAGTCATATTGTAATCTTTTTATTTTTTCTAGTGTGTTATCAAATTAAAATAAAATTTAATTTTGGGATAAAATATTATACAGAATGTTAGCTAAAAGTATATTTTATAAAAGGGACAAAAAAAAAAAGGAAGGGGAGGGAGAGCGAAGGTGAGAGGAAGCGTAGGTAGCGGCAAAAAACGGGAAATTATCTATTTAAAATTATTATATAATTCTTTAAAAATATTTTAAAATTTTACATTTTAATTTTATAAAATTATTATTTTTTTTAACCCATTCAAATATTGTATAAAAAATCATTAAATTTACCACATTTTAAAAATATACATTTATTTAAAAGATTTGAAGAAATTGATAAATTTATTTTATTTTATAAAATATAATTGATAAATAATTTAATGTATTTGTTAGTAGAAATTAATTTTGATTTTTTATTATAAAAAATTATTTTATTAATTATTTTAAATAATTTTAAAAAATTTAATATAAAATAGGAAATTTAAATAAACTTTTATCTTTGTTAAAAATATTTAATAAAAATATAAATTTTAATAAAAGTATTGATAGAACATTTTGTATAAAAGTTAAATTTTACCAAGTGAGGCATAATAAAAAACCCAATTATATAAAAAAAATTAAGAAATTTTCTTTGTAGATGGATTGTTTATCTGTTTAACTTGTAAAATCCATCTTTTTAGTTACTTGTACAAGCACTTTTTTAAATTATTCTTGTAAATAAAACTTCCTTTTAAGAGTAAAACTTCTATTCATAACTCATACAAAAGTAGAATTAATCCACAAGACAAAAATAACTAAATTTAAATTTGACTGATATTGCAGGAGCTTTCCAAAAGGAAAGCCTTTCAAAAATTGCGTATATGCCGCTTCAAGTGACAAGCACCACGGGTATTCTTTAGGTAAAAGGCGAAAGAATAGTTTCGCTTTGTGCTTATACACGGGGCTCCGTGAATGAACACTCAGTGACCATCTTTCCTTTTATAGGATAAACAGCCCACTTTTTCTTAAAACCAAACCGATGTGGGACTTTGGAAAAACAATCAAAAACTGTTCTTTCTCTGCTATCTGAATTACAGATTTACTCATGTTCAAAATCAGGTTTCGTAAGAAAAAAATCAAATCATTGTGTTTAATGTGGGAGACAGATTCACGGCTCCCATTTGACAAGAGAAACTACTGTTATATAACTGAAACTGAATGAAAGAGAAAGTTGAACAACCAAATTGGCAAAAGCCTATGAACATATATATGAATACTCACAAACCCACCTTATGTATCAGAGTCCAAAACTCTTAAGTTGGCCCAATTCTATCTGAACAAAAGTTAGTTTTCAAATACAATCACACTCAGTCCATTTTTAAAGTCTGCGAGAGCTAATTGAAATACAACCGACCTACTTTAGGAAACGATGACCAGCAGAAACAGTGACAATACACTCGGTTTCTAGCTTGATGAAGTAACCAGATCAAACTATGATATCCTGATCTGAAGCAGATTATAAAATAAACGACAGTTACAACTTAGCCAGTGCTGGAAATAAAGAGAAACATACAAGCTACTTAATAAGCTTAACACAACATGATAATGAGCTATCGCATGAAAGAGGTCTAGGAATGGAACATAGATTCAGTGACAACGTGGGGACAATGGTCAAAACAAATTATTAAAAATGAAAGAAAATTACTGTAGCTTATGGAAACTTTCCCTGCAGCAAAATAATGGTGCAGGACAAGTAGCTCGTCTCCACACCCATTACAGAGGAACAGTTATTCAAATTCATTCATAAAAATGCACATACCTTAAACAAGTGATTCACATGTAAATCTTTTATTTGAACCCTATCAGATAGTTATCTGTCATTATAGTGATAATTTGTTCTTAGTCTTTAGAAAGACAGAAGGAAATAAGGAGGGAATTTTCTTTTCTTAAAAACTTAGACAATTTCATCTTTAGTTCTTCTAAACTTGAGGTTCTCCTTTAAGCTTACCATCACAATCACACAATAAAAAATGGTGTCTTGTAACTGTACAAATAACTTTGTTTAAATGGTTGTCGATCATCATGTTGCAGAGAGTTCTATGATATGAAATTTAGGATAATCTAATTCAGATTACAATTTTTTTATTTATTTTGAGATTTTATAAGTTTTTCGAATCACTCAATCCTACGAAGCTCATTTTAATAGTTATATATAATAATATTAATTATAAAATGAAATTCGAAACATAGCAAAAGTTGCAGTTAAGGGTGTCAACGTATTCGATTATACGGAATTTGGACAAATTATTATGCACTTCAAGAAGAACAAAAACTCGAATTAGGTAAAGATTTTCAGTGTTTTTTTTTTTACTTTTTGTGACACTTTTAGACTGTATTTTTTAAAATAAGACTATATTCTTGTAAATAAAACTAAACAAAAAACAAATTATAACTACGACTTAAATACTAAAATCAAAACATAAAAAAAAGTTAAACTAACACCAAAAATTATAATAATTTTGTTTAAATTGGATTTGAAGTTCAAACTTGTATAACTATAACTAACTTACATTATTGTTTCACATTGAATTAAGTTAACTTTAATCCAATTATTGAGAAAAATTAACTTAATTTATTTAAGTCGTCAAATTATTCAACCAGATAAATATTTCTACCCACGACACTAAAACTTTGCAACTTAAAGAACTTGTTTTAAATATTAATTTTAATCGATACCAACTAATTATTTATTTTGTGTTCCTCGAAAATTAAAAATTATAACTTTCTAACTCTCAAAATTATATTAATGCTAATACTAATAACTATATACAGGAAAATATTAATCATCATTCCATGCGGAAATATATGAATGCTGTAATACGTTATTAATTTTTTATATATGATGTGATGGATATGAAACACTAAAAAATATTTTAGTAGATAAAGTTAGATGATCATTATATATTTATGAAGATAAATGTGATATAAATTTAAATTTATATAGTAAAATTTATGTTAGGATAAAAATAAAATTGTTATTTAAAATAAAAAAAGTTAAAATTGGAAAATGAAACTAAAATTAAAATTTTTTGAAGAAATAAATTTCAATTATATTATTATTATTTTATTGTTTTATTTATATTATATACATATAATAAAGAAATAAAAATTGATTCTTTAGTATATATATATATATATATATATATATATATAAGGAAATAGATAATATTCGAATATTGTATTTATCTTTCATTTACAGAAACATATCCTTCTAGTATGTTGATTATTTTGATTTCATTGTTTTTTTTTTTCCTTGTGTGGTGGGCAGCAAGAAGTAAAAGTTATAAACACAAAACAGGAAAATCAAGATCATTCAATTAGATCAAGAACAGATGACCGAACCGAAAATTTAATGAGGTTATTTTGCCTTCCTTTTTCAGATGTTGCTCTTTCCTATGTAAAAAGACATCCTTGTAATCGGTAAATAAAAATTGCCATTTACTTATATTGATATGCAGGTTGTGCAAGAAAGGTGGGGTTCTCCGAGTGGGTTGACTGCATCTAATGCAGCTGTTCCTGCTCGAGCACATCTACGTGCAATAAAAATAGACAAAAAGGTATAACTGAAGTAAATTTGCCAGATTCTGATAGGCACGGTCGAAGGGCTCCTACAAGGGTAACTTTGATGACAGAAAATAACTGTTTTACGTTTCTTTCTTGTTCCTTCAACTTGTTTTATGTCCAAAAAATGTTTTGGTGTTAATCACATTTTTCTGTAATTCTGAAAAACTGATGGTAAAGCATAAAATAATACGACGGTGTCTTTTCTAGATTGGTTGCATCTTATAGTTTTTGCAGTTTAAACCTGCACATTGTGTTTTTCCACCCTCGACCATATTACATATTATGTGCCTGTTCAGTGTTGAATTTGACAATAGTTCTATTAATCTATTCCTTATTACCAGATTAGATAAAGTAGAAAAAGCCAGAACAAACTGTTTTCTTCGGGTTTCAATGTTTGCGATTATGGTCCTTATTCCAGAATTAGGACAGACTTTTCTCTGCTCCCAGTGCCTTGAAAATAACTGCCTTCATGGTTGCTCTGATGTCTGCTATGTTACCAAGTTTTCTTTCCATCAGTATTTGCTACTTGTTATTAAAATTCTTGTAAATATTGCTTCTTACTTGCCCTGAAATTGGATATTTTTTCTGAACTTCTCGTTCATGTTTTGTATGGTTTTCTTCTTGGAAGTGGAATTTGTTAGATGGTACTGGCGAGGAGTTGAAAAACTTCTACTTTTGTATGAGTACATAGTGCATTATCTTTCTTTGCGTTTTGCTTTGGGAGGAGGTGACATTAGCCTTGTTAATTGGCTCCATAATAATAGTTTATTTTAATGTAATTGATTCTGAAATTCTTGAGATGTTGATTCTCAATGTTAAGTTGTAATGATCAATGCATAGTCAAAATCCCTTGATTTATAGGGATTAAATATTGTAATTACAGCATGAAAATCCTTTCCTAGTAATTTCTATTTACACAGCTGTGATATAGAAGTAAACAAATGGATTTTATTTAGGTAAATATAAGGAAACAGATAATGTTCGACATATTGTATTTATCGTTCATTTACAGAAACATATCCTTCTAGTTTGTTGATTATTTTGACATATCCTTCGCTTGGTTCCCTTGTGGCAAAATATTTCCTTAGTAAATGTCTCACTAATTTAATAACTTAAAGAATTGGAATGGACTCACTCTGATCTAGTAATGAAATAGCTTAATTGTCATCTGGTTTCTTCAAGTTCAAACAATTATTTGATGCTTGCCTAAACAGCTCTTGAACCAGATTCAATTCTTTCTCTGACACCAAGAACACACAAAGTGTTAGATAGACTCATACATTCTCAAGGAATCCTAAGTCCAAAGCACATTACAGCAGCATTTTCTTTTGGAACAATACGTGAATGCAGATTACAGATGCATTACATATGCATGCAATCCTTCACCGAACTACTTATGTATATATGAAAATTGTGCCGCAGGGCACCTTTTTCTGGGAATCAAAATTAAAACTCATTTTGGCTATTTAACAGGAATTTACAAATCAGAACTAAAGCTGATGGTATTACATACCTGCAGCTTCCAACTGCTTTTGAAGTTCTTGTCCTATTGCATCATTTTCAGTCTGGAAGGCAAAATGCAGAAACAATGTAAAAGCATAAACACGGTTTGTAACAATTAGATTACTTGTTATTAAGTTCACCACTCAGTCACATAAAAAGAATACTCAAGGAGGTGTGAGTTACACACTTGTAGTTCTGTTATCCTCTTAAGCTGTTCTTCTTCACCTGACTCGGATATTGGAAGAACTGCAACCAATGCATCAAACTACAGAAAAACACATATATGTCAACCATCCAATTATGAGTGATCAAATAATGTGACTGAAGGCTCAATAAATAATGAAGTTCAGTATCATATAATAAAAAAATATCTAATCCCAAGTCCAATTGTGCATGTTATCCTCTGAAACAAACACACAATTGGAATACTGGATACCATACCTGGTATCTCTAACAATCCATCTGCTTTTATTCAAAGGTAACGAGAGAATTTTTCTTCGAGAAACAATACCATATGCACCCATGCCAATCTTAGAATATATTAAAGAAAAAATACTTCAGAAAATTAAGATATGTCGGAAACCTTTTTCTTTAGTTAATGGAACTTATTAAGGATATATTTAATGCACGAGGACAAGAAATTTCAACAATTAAATCAAGAATGAAAGGCAATTCAGAGACCAAACCAAACCCTCTGGTCAGGAATTTTAAGACAGAACTAAATACAAAAAGGTAAAAGGGACTGTAATTCAGAGAATTCCCATGATAACGAATTTCTTAAAAACGATGAAGAATAAAACTGAATTGCAGGAGCACTAAAGAAAATAATACAATATAGATGATAAAAATAACTCATAATAAGTCTTAAAGTTGTAAGACCCAACTCACAACTAAAAATAGTTCCTCTGTTCTGTATAAAATTTGAAGGAAAGACAGAGTGACCAGAACAGCAGAAGAACAGCAGAAGAACAGCAAAAGCAAAGAGAGAAAGTAACAGTAGAACGAGCGCCAATGGCAGTGAGTTTTGCGATGCCAACAATTGTGAAGCTATGACAACATTAACAACTAAGCATGATATACTAACTTTCCTTTCACTATTGACTAAGATGGTACATACCTGCTTTGCAGCCTTCACTAAAGTAGAACTCATCAGCTTTGGCTGCTCTGAAAAATTTGTCCCCTCCTCCTCTGTAGGATGTGCTGTTGGTTCAGGATAATTTGGTGACAGTCGATTAGGAGGGTCATCCCTTTGCAACGTACCAATGGTATTGAAAGTTAAATGTGCAATCAAATTAACCTTTTCTTGTAATTGGGAGATTATATCCATTGCAACTCTGTGGAGGAACTTTTACGTGCTAATATGTACCTGCACCTTAAGATTTGCAAAAACTTTATGTAAACTGGTCAAGGTCTAGGTAGCACAAAAAAATGTTAAAAAAAAAACTAGAAATGACGTATAAGAAAAATTCAAAATAAAAATACACCATGAATTATTGTTAACATCAGGAAAACGCACACAAAAGGTAATGAAATCACGGTGATATTCTTAATTTAAAGTTTAACAGGTATTACAAAGAGACTAATTCAGTGTCCGAACATGGTAAGACTAAAAAAAAAAGTATCAAACTGGGATGGGATCGAGTTCATATGAAGAAAAGAACAAGTGCGAATGTGTTATAAGAAAATACTTGAGAGAAACAAAGCAAACTGAATCACACCAGACTAGCAAATAGGTTGATGACAAATAAATGGAGCCAAAGTAACCCAAAAATAAGGGACAAACAAACCCTAGTGAAATTCGGACATTTTTGGTGTTGCAAACTCAGACATAGAATCACGAGTTTAACAGGCTAGTCGCGAGTTTGAAGAACAATGATTATTCCCCAGAACGGGTTTGAACACTGTTGTCCAAAATATAGTTTCTGATTGGTTTGATGAAATGAAGTGATGGGATTAATAATAAACGCGATTCAAGATGAAATTAGAAAAAGAAACCCTCACACAAGCATGAGTAACCTAAGAAGAGAAAATCACCTCGTTGTTATTGGTAACTTCACTTTCTTCTATTGGTAACTTCACTTTCTTCTACAACTGCTTACATCATATACTTTTCTTTGTATGTATTTTCGTCTTAATCCCACACCGATTTTCTTTTTTAATTCACCTTTTTCTGCTTCTTCCAAATTATTTATCTAGTTATAGATTTAGTATTTTATTTTTCAAGGTAGATAAATTAGTCATTTGCATAGTTATTTCTACATTAAAAATAAGTTAACATTTAGTATGAATTTTTCAAAATTCATTTTTTTATTATTGAGAAAATTTAACTCAATTTATTTAAGTAATCAAATTATTCAAACAAACTCCAAAAATTATATAATACTAATATTAATTAACTATATACAGTAAAATATTAAATCACCATTCCATGCAAAATATATGAATATATGAATGTTTTTATACGGTATTAATTTTTGTCAATTGAAAACATTAAATTTTGTAAAATAAACTTAAGAGACAAAAAAAAAAATCAGTAATAGAAAATGAAAAATTTTCAAAAAACTACAATTCTCAAATTTTATAAAAGCAATTTCTAAATATACCAAACATGTCCATTTTTCTGAGTTAGCAAAAACAAGTTTGTAACAATTTACAAACATTTTGCAAGAATACAACATAAATTAAATCAAACTGTCATTATCAGATCAAACCATCTGAAAAACAACGAGACCGGAAAAACAACGAGACCTCATTAATAGTTAAATACTCTCACCCCAACTGGAGGCATTCAAATCTCATTTATAGCATAAAATTACCCATCGCAAAAACAATACCGTTCGTGAGAACAGTTTGTTCTAACGCTGCAGACTGTATTACTTCATTACATAAAGATTGGTATAATCGATTCTAAATCTATTTTCTTTGTTGAGAATGTTTGGACAACTAATCTGACATCTCTTATCTTAAGGGGCTGTATTTTTTCAAGAAGGCAACTATCTAAAATTAATGCTTACCAACTATATCAACAATGTTCATCTCATTTACGGCAAACGGATGGAGATGGAACTTTACTCGGCCCCTAAGTATCAACACTGACGTTTTCCTTAGAGTAGTTGGGATCTGGTAAGGCTACAGAAAGGGGATATCATAAGGTTATTGTAAGAGACAACAATTCTCACAGTTTAAATAGAAACAGAAGTCAAATTCAATATCTTTATCCATCAATGCCGTTTCCCGGGAGCTTGTTGCAAGCAAGCTTACCAGTCTCCAACTTGTGAGTCTGTCGAGAGTCACACATAGGGGCTCCGATGAGGGGATACTAACAATCTCACAAAAAAAAAACGTAAAATTCAGGCCAATGGGGGAGGATGGAGGTAAAAAGAGGGAAGAAACAAATGCACAATTAAATAAAAGCTCCACCAAATAAACAATGGCAGAATAAGGATGACCAGATAATCTTAATCATTCAGTGGCAACTTAAACATAGAGTTTCCTAACATATCCCAAAAAAGATGAACACGAGAATCGGTGCCTTCTTTAAAATACCAAACCTGGTCCATTCTGCAATAAATTGGCAGACAGAAACTGCCATCAGCACAAAACTTACAAGATAAAAAGTGAAAGATCACAACAGCACAGAAAAGATTGATGACCATTCTACCTGCGCATCATCTCATTCAAAAATACATCAGGCTAAGCTGCACAGCCCTTCCCACAACTCCAAGTAGAATTTCTGTTGTGACAAAACAACCAAATCAAAAAACAACCATCCCAACCACTGCCATAAATAATCTAGGTTAAGGACATAAACAACAAAATAAAACAACCTCTTGACTAGAACCCAAACAAGATACCCCAGCTAAAGGTACATAAGCTCTCAGCAACCAATGCCTTTCTAACCAACTGTCCAACAGTGTCCTTGTACGAGAAAATATCCAATATATGGCAAAAACCTAAACACTAGGAAGAAGACAAAATGAAAAGAAAAAGAAAACACTAAATCATCACTTCACGGTGATTATTGCAATACTGAAAATGAAACAACAAACAAAAAGTCAATATGTAAATAATCCCTCCCTGACAGCAAAGAAACTTCCCAATTAAAACAAAAATACTAAACTGAAATACAGAAGAAAGCAATAATCAGTGATGCAAATAATTTGAATAGAGCATATTAGATTAAAGGAACTCCACTACTTCCCATTCCCTCAAGAGAGAAGCGCCAATGTGCCAAAATCTGTATTCCAGAATTAATATCAGTCTTCGAGAAAGCAGTAAATACTTCAAGATGTCTCAAAATACAATAAATCTAATGTATTCAACATATAATTCATGAAATTAAGTCATGTAGTCTATCAATACTATAAGAGTCCATATGCCTTACAATAAGGCAAAGATTACAACAACCTTCTTCATCCGCGACAATCTCATCTCTTTCTACCACCACGCTCTCTTAAGGTGAGAGTAAGTGTTTCACCTCCACCAAGATTGTAATGGGCAAGTGACATGTTATCCTTGAGAAAGCCTGGTTTTCCGCTCAATTTCTGCTTATTAGCAGGAAGCTGAATCTCCCCGGCAATTTTTTCCTTCAAACTACCAACGGTTTCAGACAAAGATTGCACTGTAATTTCCAGAACTTGTCCCTTGAGATTTCCTTCATCAACATTAGGAACAGATACCAAGATACGAACAGGTCCCTACAGTCAATAAAACAGACTGCCAGTTAGTATACATAAAATAGCACTAACGCTACACATAATGCTATATAAACATTTGACAAAATAATAATTGTTAACTGGGTCGATCCATACAGGATGTTGAGCCAGAAATTGATCTTCAGGGATCAGAGCATAATCGTCAAGCTTCTGCCTCTTAGGTTCCGGTTCTTCTGGGAGTGGGGGAGGAGCCTCCTCTGGTGGTGGCGGTGGTGGCACTCCTTGTGGCAAAGGTGGTGGATGCATCATAGGCATAACTGATGGTGGAACAGGAAGAGGAACATAAGGTCGGGGAACTGGAACAGGAGTAAATTGGGATCCTGGTGGTGGAGGTATTTGAAATCCTTGGTTATTCAGATGCATTGATGGAGGCATTGGGGGAGGTTGACCAGCCATAATTGACTGCTGTCCAGAAGTCATCTGCATTGGAGGAGGAGGAGCTGGCCGAACAGATGGCATCATCGAAATGACAGGTGGCCTGGGTGGAGGAATTGGAAGTGCACCACTGTGAGGAACAGAATACTGGACAGGACCACGAGGAAGATTTAAAGCCAATCCAGGTGGTGGCGGAAGTGGACGAACCGAAGGCATACCAGGTCTTGGAGGAGGTGCAGCAGGACCAAGAAAGTTCTTGGCTTCATTATTAGATGTATCATTTTGGTCCTCGTTTCCAATATTCTGTGACATGGCTTGGTTTGCAGTACGCCCAATACTACCTGTGTGACCATCCCATATAACCTGCTTAGGTTGCTCGTCATTTATTTTCTCAATCTCTGCCTTGACAGCATTGGAGACCTCCTCTTCGGTGGTACCAAATATATCAGGACGGGTCCGGGCAAGTCCAACTATGTTTCTTGAAATTTCATCATCCGCAGCCAAAGTTGTCTCTCGAATTTTGGCAAACATCCTTTCTTTTTGTTCTTTGTACTTGGGATCGATGAGAGAAATTCGCATATGTTCTGACATTTCGCTAATAGGAATTAGCTCACCAGTGATAGGAGAAACAACGAACTTGGCTGAATCTCTTTCTGCGGGAATCCTCTCCTCGGGTCTCTTCCAGTTTTTAACAATTCTCATTGGTGGTTCAGGGTCTTCAGTAACTCTGACTTCATTTTGCTTCCCGTCATCTGGGTCTTCCAAACTAGCAGCTCTCATGCCCTCTTCAACAAGCTGAGCCTCCTCCTCGTCCATTTCCATTTCAACCTCCTTTTCAGGCTCAACAGTATCATCTTCCGTGGCTGACACCTTGCTTCTCCTAATAACCACCTCAATTGTCATTGGAGGAGGTAATTCTTCATCCTCCTCATCAACAAAATCTATTGTTTCAACCACCACAAAATCATGCCAATCAATCATAGCCATTTGTATTCTTTCCTGTTCTATCTCATCCTCGGCCTTTTGTCTAGCTTGCTCTTGTGAACGCTCCCATTCCAGCCTATTCACACACCTTTCAAGGACAGTAGTCATATCAGACACACTCTTCTTCAGCTTCTCTGTCAATCCCTTCGGAGGCATCAAAACCTTCGAATATGCATCCGCAAGGGAAGTAAAAAACGTAAACATGCTGTGGGTCGGCTTCAAAAAGTGGAACTGGGGATTATTGACTTCCCTACTTGTCAACCCTGTCAAAAAAGATTTCCCATTTCGAGCCACAAATTGTGCTGTAAGCTTTATAATATCCAGCTCTTCACCTGTAATTCCTTCAGGAAGCCGAACAGTATACTGTTCTGCTTCTGGGGGTTCAAGTACTTTCCTAATAGGTTTAAACTGGGCAGAAACATCGAGCTTTTCTATTGCTGCTATGCCATTACTATCAGGGACAGGGGCAGTTGGAGCTGACTCAGGAATAGCCGAGTCAGCAGGCTGGGAAGGAGTTTGCTGCCCTGATGATTGATTCTGAGCCCGAAATTCAGCCAACCGATGTTGATAATATGCATGATAGGGATCTGATGAGTTAAGGAAATTGAACTTGACATTACCCGTGTTATTTGCAATAATCCTCTTTTCAAATTCTGGACCATTTTTAGCCACAAACTGGGACGTTTTATCAACAATGGTCCTAATATCTGGAGGAGGGTGTATAATTCCAATGGTTCTTGTGTGGGTTGCAACTGTTGCTGGCACTGGGACAGAAGCTGAATTTGATTTGTTCTGCTCCTCATTGGAAGTCCTCTCCTCAGACACTTGAGACTCAGGAAGAGGACCTAGATTTCCATCAGCAGGAGGTGCAGGGAGAGGCAATATAGGTAATGAACCTAACATGTTGCAAAACCCTAAAACCCTTCAAAATTCAGGTATTCATAAAAGTGAAACAAAAGAAACACCAAACCAGCTTCTTGCTCCTGCAAATAAAACAAAACTAAAAAAATGTAAAAAACCACACTAAGTAAACCTAACGAACTCGAGAAATGGGCAAAGAAAAGCACGCAAACCATGATTTACATCTAGAGTTAACTGAAAAAACATTACAGAGTATTCAACATAATAATACAAACCATAACAAAAGAACATATTCTTAACGATGATGATAAAAATAAATAAATAAACGATGCAGATTGCGCTACTGCACAGATGCCATTGAAAAAAAAATAAGGGTTAATTTTCATAGAAGGTTTTAAAAATTGGAGTTCTGCGGTCCAAATCGAGAAGTTGCGAGCAAAACAAGGACAGAAATCTCTTGCTTACCAAATTTTTCCTTCCGCAAGAACCAAAGGAAACTAAATCGAATCTGACAAAGGAAAAAAACAGCGAGGGAAGAAGACTATGAAGTTAGTAAAGAGAGTATGGGTGGGAAAGAAAGGAAGGAAAGAAATGAAGCAGCAGAACACAAATTGAGGAGAAAACCTTACTGGAGCAAAAGGGTGGGTGGAGATCTTTCTCCTCAGACGGAAACTATTCCCTCAATGCGCAGACTGTGGGCTCTTTAGTATCAAGCGCGTCAAGAAACGGTTTCTTTTGTGGGCTCGTTGTGGGCTGGGCTGCACATGGCCCAAACATTCTAACTGCACTTGGCCCAAATACAAATATTAAAATTACTAACCCCAAACACACACCTCCGTCCAGATAATGTGCATTTGTATTACATTAAAATAATATAATTTTGAAAAAATATATAAATCTAAAAGAACAATTTAAAAATATAGAGAGATTGACAATGAAGTTTTACAAGATTGTAGAAATTTTTAAACAATCAGAAGCAACATGATAATTTAAATATATTGGGCTAATTTAATTTGGTTGACTATTAAATTGGTGAAAAATGTATTTGTTTTAGGTACCGAGTTTCTAAAATAAATGAATAAATAAGTAAGGTTTAATCATTCAGGAGGTCCCTATTTTTCGAGGAGAATCTCAATTTCGTCCTGTTCTTTTTCGGTTTCTTAATTGGGTCCTAATTTTATGAAAATTGCAACAATTGGGTCCCTACCGTTAAATTGGACCCAACGGCGTTAGTGTGTGGTTGACGTGGCACGCTGGATTCCCTTTCTTAATTGATGTGGCACTGGAGTAAATGTTTTTAATTGACGTGGATTAATGATGTGCATTTGAGTAGATTTCAGGACTAGTAGAAGGTTATTTAGAGGAATTTAAGATTTTGGAAGTTTTCCCTGTACGAATACACAAAACGGTGTGTTGTCCGAGATCAAGGAATATCAAAAATCAAAATAATGAAGAATCAAGGTTGAGGTCACTGATGTAGTTGGAGGAGAGACTACACCTTCGACGTGTCGCCGAATTCAACGCCTCCCCCAACGTCTTCTTCCCATCCACTGCATTTTTTCACCTCCTATTTCACAAGAGGGCATTTTTTTAGTCTGACGAACCCTATTTCTTTCTTTTTTTTTTTGTTCTCCTTTATACATATTAATCATACCGCCTCAAATCATTTTATTGCTTCGTTTCTATGATTTTATCAATTTTAATTGCAGGAAAGATATTTTTCAAAATTTTGAAAGGTGTGGTACTTTTATGTCTTGTTTTGAAAGTGTTGTTAGATGCCGCAAATGAACCATGTTTCATTTTCTAATTTGCAGCAATTGATTTATTGAAAAATGCCTTCTTGTTTTGTTTCAGGTTCACAAGGAAGGCAGTCTTGCAGATTTCCAGTTTTTTAGCCGTTGATGTTGTTAAAATGACTGTAATATTATATACTTTTGGATATTTAAGAACTGGTGGTTAGTGTTTGGTTCATTTTTTAGATGTTATACTTGATTGGAGTTGGAGTTAATAACTTATTTGACAAAAGGTAAAAGGAAAATTGGAGAAAGGATGTTAACCACCGTCCTTTGTATTTCTCTGCATTGTTTGCTTCCGTAATAAGTGAATGAATAGGGAAGCATTGGAGAAGCGGCAATGTTAAGGCTACTTATTGTGTTCCTAGTGGCAGCACATGACACTACATTAGGTGTTCGTCTTAGGGATTTTGGGGTTTCTGATTTTGGGTTGAGTATGAAGAAGAAGACCTGCGTTTTGTTCTTGTTTTTGTGTTTTGTTTTGATTGAATTGAAAAATAAATAAAAGGAAAAAAAATATAACGTATATAAACTTTTAAAATGAAAAGTAATCAAAAGAAGTAAGACAACTTTTAAAATGAAAAGTAATAAAAAAAATAATAAAAAACTTAAGGCAACTTTTAAAAACATAAGGCAACTTTTAAAATGAAAAGTAATAAAAAAAATCTACTTTCTTCTGTAATGTGTCAGCCACCTCAATTAAGTAACCGACTTAGCGTGCCACGTCAATCACACACTAACGTCGTTGAGTCCAATTTAACGGTAGGGATCCAATTGTTGCAATTTTCACAAAATAAGGATCCAATTGAGAAGCCGAAAAAGAACAGGATGAGATTCTCCTTGAAAATAGGGACCTCTTGAATGATTAAACCAATAAGTAAAGGTTGATAATACTTTATTGAAGCAAATGGTAGAGAGCCTTATATATGTTATGACTATAAGACTAAATGCATGTTTGGTTAGTTTGACAAGTCACTTTTGTGAAGCATCCTAAACACACTCATTTCTTGCAAGCCTATTATGGTATATTTGCATAGAACACAGAATCAAAAATTTTCGACAAAGATTGATGAAATGAAAAGTTATTTATTTATACTGACATTAACTATGCAAACGATCTTAAAAATATATAAAGAGTGTATTTGGGTATGCTTTAAAAAAAATAAAAGATAATGCGATTTATGAGACATTAAACAAATAATCAGTGGCAAACAATGTTCATAATGGTTACATTATGAGCTTGACTGATAAGAATTTTAAAACATTTTAGATTATGTTAGAAAAACTGGTATATTTTGTTAGAAGTAGACCTTAAGTCTAATTCAATCCCACAAAACCAGATTGTAGAGCGAGATTTGCATCCACTTATAAATTATGAATTGACCTTATATGTAGTTAAGATGTAACTTTTAACATATTTTCTGATAATAATTTTACAATTAAATTATTTAAAACTCAATCTTACATTAAAGAAGTAAACACTGAGGTTTCATTTTTTGAGAGATTTACGAGCCAACAATAGTATTGAGTTGAATTATTACAACATAGAAAAACATTTAATAGGCATGGACAAAAAAGTAGAAAGTTTCCGAAATTTACAAAATATTGTGGGCATAAAGAGAGAGATTATTGATAAAGTTAAAGTGTTAAGATTAAAGACATTTTGTTTATTAGTTTCGTTATTTTAAATGTGTTGTTCACTATCACATGTGTTCTTAATACGTTACGTGCCATTGTTGTCTATCATTTAGTTTACTAACTCTAAAGGCCTATAAATTTGACTCGTTTTTGGTTTCAATAACACAAAAATTGCCTTTTAATTTAATAACTATACCGTAATTTTATGGTTTTGTTTGAATGAATATTTTGTAATTTTATGGTTTTTGAATGAATTTTGTCACCAATATTTTTCTTGATCTTTGACGATATTAACAACTAAATGTCAAAATTTGTAAACTTATATATATGCACACAAAAAGAGTTTGTAGGTTGTTGCAGAAGAAATTAAACTCGATTATAATTTTGAAAAAATTAAGAAAGAATGATGCAGATGAATCTATTTATTAATGATATAAAAAAAAATATCCCTAGGAAGTCAACAATGCCTAAAACTAGCCAACTAGTTTTGTATAAATAAAGGATAAATACTAAAATTCATATTTGCAGCGCCTCCTTCATATTGTATGTTACAGAAATTAGAAAGCTAAAGTTGTTTCTGCCTACAAGGCCTCCTGATAAAAATTCCTTTAATCAAATGTTACAGATGGTTCTGTAGATCATAGGTATCCCATATGAATTGCCCTTGGGAATCAAGGGAAACCTGAAATTTTCAGACTGTGTGATGCACAAATTCCTTCTCAAGAACCCCATTCATATATAAATGTCTCCAAATGATATGAAAAGAATCTTCTCACACACTGTCGTACAAGAACATCATATCCATCTCCTGTGAACAAACGTTTACCAAGACAGGCAGACAAATATCTCAAGATCATATGAAAATTCCTGATATATTATGTGTGCCTTTTTGTCAAGCAACCAATGGAGACTTCCTGAGTTTATCAATTTTCAAAGCAAAATGCATGGCAATATGCTCCATCCTCGCATCAACTAGAGCTTCCTTCAAGGTGCTGAACATTTTGGCCGGAGGCCGGATACCCATATCTAACATTTCTTGAAAGTACTTACACGCTTCATTTAACTTACTTTCATGACACAAGGAACAGATCAACGTGGAGAACATGTGCATTCCAGGAAGAATTCCCTTCTCTTTCATCTCATCCCAAAATGCCATCGCCATATCCAATCTCTCTTCATTACAAAACATCCTCACCATGATCTCATACGTGCTCACACTCGGCTCACACCCAAACTCGCCACTCATTCTGTGAAAAACCGAGCAAGCCTCTTCAATCCTACGACCCTTTATAAGATGATGAAGTATAATATCAAAAGTTCGAGAATTTGGACCAATCCCACACTTTTTCATCTCTCCAACCATCCTATACGCATCATCCATACGCAAAGACCAGCAATAAGCCCCAACAACAGCATTGTAGGTGGGAGCCTCAGGTGCAAAGCCACTAGCCTTAGATGCCTCAAAAAACTCAAGAGCTTGGTTCAATCTCTTATCCGAACCCAAACCATTAATCAAAGTACAATACACATGGGGACTAGGCCTCAGACCCTTAGCTTTCATCTCATGGTACAACCCAATGGTTTCATCAAATTTCTTAGCCTTGCAATACGCATTGATGATTATCCCATACGCAACAACATCAATCTGAAACCCTTTATCCTCCATTTCCCTACACAACTCATTGAGTTTGATCAAGTTCTGCAGATGACTCCACCCTTCTAGCAAAATGGTGTAGGACTTGATATCGGGGTCCAACCCTAAATGCCGCATTTTATCAAACATCTCATGTGCCTTCTCAACACCCTTGGATTTTCACAACACGTCGATCAACTTATTGAAATCCGATACATGCGGCTTCAAACCGTAACGCTCCATCTTCTCAAATGTCTCGGTTGCTTCCTTGACCTTCCGTGCTCGCACGTATCGCCGAGCAACGAGGGCAAAAGTGTCAGAAGTCAGCAACTTTCGTTGCTTCATGTCGTCGACCAAAGTCCAAATCAATTTGAACTGTCTGATCTTACCCAGTGCTTCGATCAATGCGTGAAAGGTCTCTGTGGTGTGTTTGAACTCGCCTTGCTTCTCGGCCCAACGGAAAAACGAAAGCGCCAGGGTACCGGCATTACTGAGTTTGTTCAAGACCTCGAGGACGAGCTCCGGCGAGGGATTCACCACAACAGCAGCGAGAGAGGCAGCGACGGTGGAGTCCCGAGAGTTGGATAAGATTCTGCAGATTGCTTCGGCGTTGGATGTGGACCTAGGTTGGGCCGTGTGGAAGGCCAATGTGGTGTGTTTTGGAGACCCGTAGGAAAATTGGATTGTGGGTTTGGGGTAATGGTGGTGAAAATTTGAACTTGACGAAGGATTAAGGGATATTGAAGAAGATTCCGAGAGGGGAAGGAGGAGATTGGAGATGAGGAACCTTTTGGATGATCGAAAAAGCGCCATGGAACCCAACACTGATTGGGATGTGGCACGTTTTATGCTACCCAGCATGAACATATCTATGCCACTGTAAATTACGTTCGTTTTTTCTTTGGTATATTCGGAACATCAAATCGATTTTTACTTTCTACTAAATAAAACTATATTAATAAATAATTTCTATCCATTTTAACTCTTCTTCAACTCTGCTAAACAACTTTATTTTTACCTTGGTGTGTTTTCTTTATCACGGAAGACACAAAGAACATTGAAATTTAAGTCCAACTATACGAAGGATCAATCTTACTTTTTATCCAAAAACTTAACTTGCTTTTTACCCAAAAACTTAAGTTAATGATTTAATTAATCTTTTATCTATATATAATATTTTATTTTCTCATTTTTATTCAATTTTAAAACTTAGATTCACGTTTAAATTCCCCAACAAATATATTATGACATGGTTGATAGATAATGTTATTTTGTAGAACGTGGTTAAGGTTTCAATCTCAATCCCGTGTTTATAAGAAAATTTGTGAAGAAAGATGAGACTTTCCTTAAATGGTTAGATAGATTTCAGTATTTTGAGAAAGTAGTCTTTGAGTTCTAAGAAAGAGATATTCCTGATATATTAAAAAAAAATAGAAAGTACAATAATGGGGGAATGGAAAATGACAATATCTAAAAAGAATGAACTTTTCTGTTCTGATCGTCCAGAATCTCTATGATAATGAGGAGACATACTGCAGGAGGGAATATCCTCCCACTGATGTAAGGTATTGGAGGATCCACCACAAATATTAAGCCTCCAAAGCCAAAGAGCTTAAACATATATTCCCTTCCCACTACAACTCTGATGTGTTGCTATCAAAACTCACTAATAAACAATGCTATGCCTCCAATATTGACATTACACTTGGGTGACCAAAGAATGTGTTTTCTGCAAATGGCAATTTCTACTGTGAATGGTGGTGCTTAGACAGCACAGCTTCCTAAATGCTTCTATTCTCTTGTCTATTCATCGACATTGATTGGTCTGTGAGTTCCAGCCATCAAGAAGGTTAGAAACGGACCCTTGAAGCTTCTTAGCCTGAGGACCTGGTTTTACAATATTGACATCACCCCATTGGGAGCACGGATCCGCCCACCAGCTCCTCCGCCCAGTGCACCACACTCCTGGAGTAGCTCGATGGCTACCACGATGGAGAATCTTCTCATCAATCATGTCCAACACAGGATTATTAAATTGAAACTGTCTTGCAAAAGCAGCTCCACTTTCTACCATCTGATTGTAAGCGGAAGCATTAAGGAAGAGTGGTTCCATCTTTGGAGGATCGTCCCAGACTATATATCGTAAGTTCCCATTTACTGTTGTGTTCTTGAACTCTGGCGCATTGCAAATGACTGAGTGAAAGTAGCCTTCTTGAGATAACTTCACATTTGTAAAGTACATCAGTAGGGTTCGAGGTAAATTGTCCCAACCAAAAATGCAGAACTCCAGAAAGGGCCTGCTCAAGATTACCCATGGCGAACCTGCATGCCAAGAAAAGCATTCAACATATATAGGGGGGAACGAAAACCCTGTAAGACATGTATTGTGCTGCACAGTAGGCATGAGATAAAAGATTTGCCTGTGAAAATTTTGAATGCGTTTGGAGTTGCCCTCTTTTCTGTAGCTTGAAAAATTTGACTCTTTCTTGCTAAATATAACCCCGGGTCAACTACAATAGGCTGGAATCTATCGCTCCTGCAAAACCAAATAAATTATGTAAGGCCAACTGAATAAGTGAGAAAAAGTAGCAGCTAGAATTAGCATTAGTTTCCATACTCTTTCCATCCAAGGTCACCAGTGTGCTCAATGAAATTCAGGTCTCTCCTAACTGAAGAGAAAACGTGGGACAGATCTGATAAAAGATAAAGGATGTGGGTCAGTAACTTTGTGGAGTAGGGAAAGAAGGCATACATCATTCTAAGCTGAGAGTATGAACAAAAAACTGAGAACTCTGTTGACCTTAAAACCAGAAAAATTATTCAGTGAGCAAATTTTAGAATACTAAGTATTTCTTCACTCAATAACAGTATAATGAATGTAGATGTTCTTGTACAGCAACTAAAATAATATATAGAGAGCCCATAAAGACTTCCAGCCCTACCAGTAACAGAGGAATCCCAATGTTCATTTTAATCAACAAGGCCATGAACTGATGCAGAATACATTGTTGCTACTTGCTAATCTAGAGGCCAATGATAATCTACAGTCAAACTCAGTTTTAGGATCAGACAGCCTCGTTGACTCTACAGGATTATGAGGGTTCACTTGTAAAACATGAAATGCCTTGGGAGATTCTATGATAAACAATGTGTCTGTCATCGAATGCCTCACGATCTCACATACTCGGGCATCAAAAGCCCTTCTCTGTGGCTACCAACATAAAAACTTGTTTTTTCATCATACCCCCTTATATTATAAAATCAATTTTTACTGTCACTTTCTTTGTTCTTTCTTAACTGCTTCACTAGCACAAGTGTCACTGGTGATATCTCTAAAGATCTTTCATGCAGCCCTCAAATGATTAAGATCTTATAACTTATAAATATGTTGCAAGCACCTATTTGAGACATGACAATACACGTGTCGTTTTAGTTACTTCTGATTATGCTTACTTGCTGTAGACATGACAATTTTCGTTGTTTAATCAAAAGCATAATGGAAAGTGATGAAAGTCTGAAACTAAAATCTAGATAACTGTCCATTCCCCTTAAAACACTTTAGAGCCAGTTTACTTGAGGAAACGTTTTCTGTTTTCACTTTTAATTACAAAACTGTAACTCTGTTTCNCAATCTCAATCCCGTGTTTATAAGAAAATTTGTGAAGAAAGATGAGACTTTCCTTAAATGGTTAGATAGATTTCAGTATTTTGAGAAAGTAGTCTTTGAGTTCTAAGAAAGAGATATTCCTGATATATTAAAAAAAAATAGAAAGTACAATAATGGGGGAATGGAAAATGACAATATCTAAAAAGAATGAACTTTTCTGTTCTGATCGTCCAGAATCTCTATGATAATGAGGAGACATACTGCAGGAGGGAATATCCTCCCACTGATGTAAGGTATTGGAGGATCCACCACAAATATTAAGCCTCCAAAGCCAAAGAGCTTAAACATATATTCCCTTCCCACTACAACTCTGATGTGTTGCTATCAAAACTCACTAATAAACAATGCTATGCCTCCAATATTGACATTACACTTGGGTGACCAAAGAATGTGTTTTCTGCAAATGGCAATTTCTACTGTGAATGGTGGTGCTTAGACAGCACAGCTTCCTAAATGCTTCTATTCTCTTGTCTATTCACCGACATTGATTGGTCTGTGAGTTCCAGCCATCAAGAAGGTTAGAAACGGACCCTTGAAGCTTCTTAGCCTGAGGACCTGGTTTTACAATATTGACATCACCCCATTGGGAGCACGGATCCGCCCACCAGCTCCTCCGCCCAGTGCACCACACTCCTGGAGTAGCTCGATGGCTACCACGATGGAGAATCTTCTCATCAATCATGTCCAACACAGGATTATTAAATTGAAACTGTCTTGCAAAAGCAGCTCCACTTTCTACCATCTGATTGTAAGCGGAAGCATTAAGGAAGAGTGGTTCCATCTTTGGAGGATCGTCCCAGACTATATATCGTAAGTTCCCATTTACTGTTGTGTTCTTGAACTCTGGCGCATTGCAAATGACTGAGTGAAAGTAGCCTTCTTGAGATAACTTCACATTTGTAAAGTACATCAGTAGGGTTCGAGGTAAATTGTCCCAACCAAAAATGCAGAACTCCAGAAAGGGCCTGCTCAAGATTACCCATGGCGAACCTGCATGCCAAGAAAAGCATTCAACATATAGAGGGGGGAACGAAAACCCTGTAAGACATGTATTGTGCTGCACAGTAGGCATGAGATAAAAGATTTGCCTGTGAAAATTTTGAATGCGTTTGGAGTTGCCCTCTTTTCTGTAGCTTGAAAAATTTGACTCTTTCTTGCTAAATATAACCCCGGGTCAACTACAATAGGCTGGAATCTATCGCTCCTGCAAAACCAAATAAATTATGTAAGGCCAACTGAATAAGTGAGAAAAAGTAGCAGCTAGAATTAGCATTAGTTTCCATACTCTTTCCATCCAAGGTCACCAGTGTGCTCAATGAAATTCAGGTCTCTCCTAACTGAAGAGAAAACGTGGGACAGATCTGATAAAAGATAAAGGATGTGGGTCAGTAACTTTGTGGAGTAGGGAAAGAAGGCATACATCATTCTAAGCTGAGAGTATGAACAAAAAACTGAGAACTCTGTTGACCTTAAAACCAGAAAAATTATTCAGTGAGCAAATTTTAGAATACTAAGTATTTCTTCACTCAATAACAGTATAATGAATGTAGATGTTCTTGTACAGCAACTAAAATAATATATAGAGAGCCCATAAAGACTTCCAGCCCTACCAGTAACAGAGGAATCCCAATGTTCATTTTAATCAACAAGGCCATGAACTGATGCAGAATACATTGTTGCTACTTGCTAATCTAGAGGCCAATGATAATCTACAGTCAAACTCAGTTTTAGGATCAGACAGCCTCGTTGACTCTACAGGATTATGAGGGTTCACTTGTAAAACATGAAATGCCTTGGGAGATTCTATGATAAACAATGTGTCTGTCATCGAATGCCTCACGATCTCACATACTCGGGCATCAAAAGCCCCTCTCTGTGGCTACCAACATAAAAACTTGTTTTTTCATCATACCCCCTTATATTATAAAATCAATTTTTACTGTCACTTTCGTTGTTCTTTCTTAACTGCTACACTAGCACAAGTGTCACTGGTGATATCTCTAAAGATCTTTCATGCAGCCCTCAAATGATTAAGATCTTATAACTTATAAATATGTTGCAAGCACCTATTTGAGACATGACAATACACGTGTCGTTTTAGTTACTTCTGATTATGCTTACTTGCTGTAGACATGACAATTTTCGTTGTTTAATCAAAAGCATAATGGAAAGTGATGAAAGTCTGAAACTAAAATCTAGATAACTGTCCATTCCCCTTAAAACACTTTAGAGCCAGTTTACTTGAGGAAACGTTTTCTGTTTTCACTTTTAATTACAAAACTGTAACTCTGTTTCGAATCTATTTCTTATTTTAAAAGATTCGTACAGGAAATGGTGAACAAAACCTCTTTTTTTTTTTCTGTATACTGTACAGATCTTTGAAAACAGGAAACAAATTGAAAACAAGGTGATAATTTTGAAAAGTGATAAACAAAATAAAAACAGAAGACCATCCTTAGTGTCTAAGAATTAGTTTGCTATTTGTGGCAATTTTTTTTGCTTGACTATTTGACATCTGAACTATGCTAAATCATATCCTCTGCATAGCAGTCAGACTAGCTGTTAATTCAGCATTCGAAACTATATTCCACCTTGATATTCCACTTCGTAAGGATGCTTAAAATTTTCCTCCAACTAGAAGCCCATGCTCCAGTCCTATTAGATCTGTATAACAAGATCAGTATTTCAATTTATCAATTCATGAGTCAATAACAAGTCACATGCAATCAGAAGAATCGACTTGATCCGTTATCAGATTTTGCAATAGTGAGCACTTTAAGATATTTAACCATCTAAGGCATGAAAACAATCTCCAGCTGACCAATCTCTTCCGTTTGGAAATTAGTGCAAAATCTTGGCATGAGTCCAAAATGCATTCACAAACTGATTCAAATCAACAAGGATAAACAAATGAAGTGACTTCAAATTCCTAAGACCTAAACTCATTTACTAGCAACTGAATTCTTCTCACCCCAGTGATCCCTCTTTTCAACTGAATACCCTTTTCTCCCATTTGCAGCTCCCTCACCATTTATGTCTTGGCTTCATCTCCTGCTGCTACCACAAATTCCTTATGCATGGAAAACTAATAAGATGGAAAAGCTGTCTTTTTAGTTTATTATCTAAACATTCAAAACTATATAGCCTAAAAAATGGGAGGCTCTAGGTAAATTTTAGATTTCATTTGAAAATAAAAAGTAGAATCCAAAATGACACTTGGACAGGCCTCTGTTTAATCAATCTGTAGTAACCAATCTGATGCGAAGATAATTTCAGCATTCTCTTAAAAGAATAAACCTTAATCTTCAGTATTACTTACAAGAACAAAAAATCAATACAGAAAGAAATCTCAAAGCAAGAACTCGCAGAAAGTATCATTTAGCCACATGAAAGCAATATTATGCTAACATCAAAGCAATTGCTCAAACAGAACTTATAAAACTTCAAAACAAGGCATTAAAATTAAGACACCAAAAGAAATTCAAAAAAAAAATTACGAATATTTATACTCAAATATATAAATTCAAGCTGATCATATCAGAGATTCAACGATAAGACACCATCTACACCTAATCTGGGATAAGCGAAATTAAGGTCAAGCTCGTCGATTTGAAAATTAATTCTACAGAGAACAAGCTTGTAATTAATAATGTATCACAGGTTTCCTAACGGAATATTTGGGAGTTGAGTTGTCGAGGATAATAATTAAAATGCAATAAAATAAACTGTCAGATTAACATACAGTTAATGTCTTAATCTTTTTGCTAACTTTTTTATTTCCCTTTCCTTTCCCTCTGAAATTCCAGCCTCACGCATCTACTAAAAACAAGGGAAACTTGAGAACAAAGGGTGAACTAAAGGAACAGAAAGTGAGTTTTTGGACCACTGAAATTGCACAAACTTTCCTTAAGTACCAAGCAACTAGTTCTTAATACTGGATCACTCAAAATAAAATTCATAATACTGAATTACCAACTAATCGACCCACCAAACCCGTTTATTTAATTCCTTTTAAAAGACAATTTGATTTGAATACTCCTCCAAATTTCCAACCATACAACAGCAATCTAGGTACTGACTCGTCAAAACACAGTCACAAATCAAAGAAGCAAACAGAAAATATCAAACATGCATACCATCCTGTGTGATGAGAGGATAATCCCGTGCACTCAAAGTGATGAACCAATTCCATCCTCTATCCAATTTGAGCATAATGGCTGCAGCCCGGAGAGTGATGGCCACATTGGAGGACCCCAAGTAGGTGACATAATCAGCCTTTCCAACCACATCAACGTTCCCGAAAGCACGAATGGCCGGCACCGCCCTCGTGGCGGCAACCAGGGCTTTTCTCTCCTCGTCCCTGGCATCCTTCCCAAGATGGAGGAGGTACCTATTCCTAGGATGGTAAACTGCCAACAACAAACGCAAGATCCGGTCCTTGTCTTGGTGTCCACCAGAGATAAAGTATGCAAAAGCTGGAGGGTAGTGAGAGCCATGCTGAACAAGGGAAGGGAAAGCCTTAGGAGAACTAAAAGCAGAGAAAGAGGACATCAACAGAACCATGAGAGATAGCAATGCTGCACTGAATAGAGTGAAAAGCCATTTCCTGTCAACTCCCATAGCCACTACTGTGTTCTCTAACTTGGTGCTGGGGCATATGAAGATGTGGCTTGAAAGAAGGGATTTTGAGAACTGGGTCTGGCTTTCTAGACTCTTCTCGGTAAAGGGTGGCTAAAGATCTTGGCTTTTCCTGGTTTGGTGATGATGGGCATGGAAACTGTTAAACTAACATGCATATAAGAAAAGGAAATGGTGATGGTGGACAGATGGAAAACCCGGATCAGAAAGTTCCAAATTTTTTGCAGGTTTTAGCTATTTCAGTGCTCGATTTCTAATCCCAACCATGTAG